TTAAAAGGCATTTACAAAAGAGTTTGAGTCGAGCTTTTATTGAGTCTAACTTAGTCAAGTCTGGATCGGAGTATTAAAAGGTGTTTCCGAAAGAGTTGAGTGTGAAATTCTAATACTTAAGCTCAACTCAAGTTTTTATTGAGTCGAACTAAGTCATGATTGAAGTCTTAATAGGCGATGACATAAGAGTTAAGTGTGGAATTCTAATACTTCAGCTTGACTTAGTTTTTTTATTGCGCCGAAGTAAAGTCGGGGTCGGAGCCTTAATAGGCATTTACAAAAGCGTTGAGTTTGAAAATCTAGTAATTCAGCTCGACACAAGCTTTTATTGAGTCAAACTAAGTCAAGTCGAGGTCGGAGCCTTAATAGATGTTTACAAAAGAGAGTTCGAAACTCTATTTTTTCATCGCAACTCAAGCTTTTATTGGGTCCAACTAAGTCAAGTCGAGATTGGAGCTTTAATAGGCGTTTACAGAAGAATCGAGTTTGAAAATCTAATACTACAGCTTGACTCAAGCCTTTATTGAGTCGAACTATGTCGAGTCGAGGTCGGAGCCTCATTAACAGACGTTTACGAAAGAGTTGATTTCGAATTTTTAATACTTCGTCTCGACTCAAGCTTTTAATGAGTCGCACCGAGTCGAGTTGGGATCAGAGCTTTAATAAGCGTTTACGGAAGAATTGAGTTCAAATTCCAATACTACAACTTGACTAAAGCTTTTATTGAGTCGAACTAAGTCAGCTCGGGATCATAGATTCAATAAGCGTTTACAAAAGAGTTGGGCTTCATCCGACTCGAGCCTTTATTGAGTCGAACTAAGTCAAGTCAAGATCAAAGCTTTACTAAGCGTTTACAGAAGAGGTGAGCTCGAAATTCTAATACTTCATCTCGACTCAAACTTTTATCGCGTTTAACTAAATCAAGGCGGGATCGAGGCTTTATTAAGCGTTTATGGATGAGTTGAGTTCAAAATTCTTATACTTCAACCCGACTCAAACTTCTATTGAGTCGTACCAAATCAAGTCAAGATCAAAACTTTAATAAGCGTTTACAGAAGAGTTGAGTTTGGAATTCTAATACCAATTTCTCTCAAAATTTTATAAATCGAACTAAAGTGAAATCGATACGAAGCCTTAAATAAGGCGAGTCGAGCCAAACTCATGGGTAACTCGTCCAGGCCAGTTAACAAGGTGCAAGTGTATAACCCTAAAGCTATTTTGCTCTTAGTCGCACCATTCTACATAAATTTCACAGTTCCTTCTCGACTATTTTGCCACCATCATCATATCACAGCGGTTTGGGCAAGGATATTCAGGCAGCTTCATGCGTTGGAGGGTTTTTGCGCCCAATTTCTTCCCCTTTTAGCCGACGGTTTGGGGTTTCTCT